AGACCTCTCCTGTCTCACCCACTGCTCCCGTCAGCAGTGTATTTTAGTAGATCCACCTGTTCTGATCCCCACTCTGTCTCTGGTGAATCCTCTCAACCCCCCCCCTCCCCCCGGACCTCTGGCTTATCCCTCAGTTCTTGTATGCATAAATAAGTAAAAATAAAATCTTAAAAACAGAAAGTTACAAGTTAAAGCAACTAAAGGAACTGACAAAACTAGATCAAAGCAAACCCTAGAAATATGATTGCAGTATTAAGGCTTTACAGAAGGAGGGTGGAAGAGGTGGAAACAAAGGGGGGGAGGTACAATAGCCTAAGGTGAAGGACTATGAGTAACATAGTCCTTCTTAATGAGAGAAGGCATGGTAACATCTGAGTAGGTGTGACCCTTTCCCCCTAAATCATATACAGTATTGTAAACCAGTATTACCTCAGTAAAGGAAAAAAACCACAGACTATTCCTACTCTCAAATTCTGATGGTCTGGAGTGAGACCCGGAAATGTATATATTGGCAGATTTTTTCTGTACCATAAGCTTGAGAACCACTGAAAGGTGAATGAAATGTTCTCTTTACATGAGTTTTGCAGATAACTAAGGCTTACCCACATATAACTCTTTGAAATATTTTACATTCTATAATCATATAATTTTGTTGAACAGAGTTAAAAATTTTCTTTATGACCAGGAGCCATCCATGTCATAGTATGGACATTTCTGTTGACACTCTCTGCAAGGGTAATAATGGAAAAAAAAAAGGGAACATAACAGACCCAGATTCCTAAAATGACTAGATTGGAAATATGAGTAGATGCAATCAAAAGGGAAAAACTATCTCTGTCTCCTGTTGTTATTTTTTTGTCACTTAAAAAAACAGACAATGATGGCCCAACCTGGTGGCGCAGTGGGTTAAAGCACTGCACTAAGAAACTAAAGCCACTTCAGCATGAGTTTGATCCCCATCCCCGCCTGCCCTGGAATGGTGAGGCAGACCTCTCCTGACCCGCCCACTGCTCCTCTCAGCAGTGTACTTCATTGATCTGCCTGTTCTGCTCCCCACTCTGTCTGTGGTGAAGCCTCTCACCGCCCCTGCACCTCTGGTCTCTACCCAGTTCAGTATGATCAAATAAATAAATCTTAAAAAACAAAACAAAACAAAAAGACAATGATACATAATTTTAAAATATAAAAGGATATGTGGTGAAAAGTAAAGTCCTTTCCTGTCTTTGTCCCTCTGCCACTGTGGCTCCCCATTGACATCTTTTATGTATCCCAGAGAAATTCTTTGTTCCCAAGTATATATTCCACATGGTGATATTTAAGGGCATCTGATTTTATTTTATTTATTTATGTTTTAATGATGTCTATTTTTAGATGTTACATTTAGAGCCAGAAAAATCCCTGGCACAAATCCAGAGTAGGAAAAGTCAGTAGCACATGTGAGGAAAACTGTTTTAGTTGACAGTAACCTCAATATGAGTCAACTGTAACGTGACTGCCAGAGAAGATTAGGCAAGCCTAGGAGATGACTAGTGTCAGAAGCAACAAACCACAAACAACAACAGATGTCTTCTGAATACCTGTTTCTATGTGCGAGCCTCTGTGCTGGGCACTGGGGACACAGAAGTCACAGAGTCAGCCACTGTCGTGGCCTTCACAGAACCTACCTAGCAGAGACAAGGGAGGCCATTTAACCATCTCACCCCTCTGAATTATCCAGCCCTCTGGGATTTCTGTGGCCTGCTCTGCCCAGCTTCCTTCAGTGGAAACATTGACCAACTAGAGCTTGTGCAAAGAGGTATAAGCAGAAGAGTGAGGAAACCTGATGCCATGTCATCTGAGGGAAGGTAGCAGAAATTGGAGGTGTCTGTTTAGCCTTTGAGAAGCAAGAGCTGAGAAGAGTTAGGGAGGACTAACAGCTGTCTTCAGATACATCTGGGATTATCATGTGCAAGACAAGCTTGATTTATTCTTTTTCTGATACTGTAAGACAGAACTGCTGCAACTTGCTACAAGCCAGTAGAAGTTAAAAGTCTATCTTCAGGATTAAAGAGGGTCCTTGGACCCTTGAATGATTAGACTTGTCCAACAAAAGAACAGGTGCTTGAGTGATAACTAACTTCCTCATCCCCTTAGAGAGGAAATCAGACTAGTCAACAGCTTTAGGGGGAATTCTCAAAGTGGGTTGGGGGTTGAACTTTGAATTTCCTTATAATTCTGAGAATCTGCTTGCAGAGGCCATTTAGGGGAGGCCATTATGTATGCCAGATTCTATAGAGTTGGTAAACAAAAGTTGGTGCTAAATCAACGTTTCTTCTCCAGGATAGGATGAAGGGTGCCAACCCTTATGGTGTGCTAAATGAACCCGAGGGCTTCATAATTGGTTTGACATAACATTTGCTTATTGGCATGACATGAAATCTTTGGTAGTTCTATGGTAGTTAGGAAAGACCTCCAAAAACGTCCAAGATTCAACCTAGAGTCTGAGAATTACAAAACTTTAGAACAGTGAGTAGTTAGGGAATGAATAAGTGACTGTGGGAATATATGTTCAGCTATTCCTGATAAAGTTCTGCTGAAAGATTGCTCGATTGTGACTTTCTATATAAAAGCATATCATACAACAGGAATACTACAGTCCAAATGTACTATTTGGGATGTTTCCAACCTTAGTTCTGAGTATGGACGTTGGAGCTACCTATATATATATACTTGGGCTGACCTCCCTGTTCTGTCATCTTTCTTAAATATTTATTCAACAGTTGTTTATGAAGTCCTTTCTATATTCTATTCTTTATACTAAGCATGAGGACATAGCAATCAGCAAGAGAGAAAGGCCCCCAGCCTTAAGGAAACTTAGAGCCTAGTGGGGTAAATTAATCTCTGTAAACCTATTTCTTTTCTGAAAAATAGATTTCTGTTTATAAGATTCTTGTGAGGGTATTAATGTGTTTAAACAAATAGAAAGTAATGAAATAATGTTAGCCTTTAATGTTCATAGCACCATAGCCCCAGAATGGAGAAATTAGAACACACAAGTCATTGAGTTAATACTCTGTTGCTGAAAAGTCCATTTGTTAAACAATGTTAGCAATTTCAGTTGATATTTTATTAAGCACTGAATATGTCAGCCACTGCTGAGTGCTTTACATATTTTGACTCATTTCTCTCTACAATCCTATGAGGAAGGTATTATTATTAACCCCATTTTCCAGTGGCAGAAAATTGAGGCACCACATTTTCAAATGGGAGTATTCACTGCTGTATGAAGGAGCTGAGATTTGAATCCATAGTTAAAGTTTGATGTGAATCCAGACAAATACTGTTCACCTGACAGATTTTGGTATGGTTTGACTAAAATAGTAAACTAGTTTACTGATTTTAATTTTTATGAACTAAAATCAGAAATGTGTATGTTAAATGATACCTTGTTTGGTACATTTGATACATAGCATATATTTTAGGTATGTATAAGGCACAGGGACCACTGTACTACAGTAACTAAAAATTCAGAGATAGTGAATGTCATCTTCTTCAGTGCAAATAAGGTTTTGATTTGACAAAGGGAGAATAAGTCACTCTTCATTGCTTTGGACCTGTAATATTTTTATAGTCTTTGACAAGAACATAATTGGATAAGCAGACTACAGTATTTTGTTTGTCATATTTATCTCCTCTTGAGGGAACTACTAGATTCTCCTAAGATGAAAGCTCAGACATTTGGGGAGTACTTCCACCAAATGATTCTTAGTTGATGAGCATTAAATATGATTGCCAAATTGAAAATCCAGGACAGTTTCACTAAACTACCAAGATTAGATTCATCACTAGTACCTCCATTGCAAGAAATTAAAATAGTGGAATTAAAAACTGATTGGGACTTCTAGTGATGATCTTATCTGAATCCCTCTTGGGTAAGGAAAGTAAGAAAACGTAAGTATGCTTTCCCTTTACTTAGCTATATGTACTTTTCCCCATTAAATACACAGATAAATGAAGCCTTGAAATCAGACCATGGAATTATAGACTTATTTGAAATAAAGTCTGGAAAATTCACCCTGAAATCTGATGTACACAAAATAATATTAATATGATTTGTATTTGGGCTTTTTAAAAATTAGATGGTTTAAGGTTTTTTTTTTTTTTTAAGATTTATTTATTTGTGCATACAGAACTGGGGTACAGGCCAGAGGCTCAGGGGCAGTGAGAGGCTTCACCAGAGACAGAGTGGGGAACAGAACAGAACAGGCAGATCAACGAAGTACACTGCTGAGGGGAGCAGCAGGCGGGTCAGGAGAGGTCTGCCACGCCATGTGGTCACCTCCGGGGCAGGCGGGAATCAAACTCATGCGGAAGTGGCTTTAGATTCTCAGTGCTGTGCTTTAACCCACTGCGCCACCAGGGAGGGCCGGTTTAAGGTTTTTTAAAAAAAATCTTAAATCACTCTGTTGAGCTATGATTGTCATAAAAAAAAACTGTAGATACATAAAGTATGTGGCTTAATGAGTTTGAGGACACAAATATTCACCTCTGAGACTATCACCATAGTCAAGGCCATCAGTATAGGATATTTAAAATTTTTATTTATTTTTATTTTTTAAGATTTATTTATTTATTCATACAGAACTGGGGTACAGGCCAGAGATGCGGAGGTTGAGAGGATTCACCAGAGACAGAGTGGGGAGTAGAACAGGCAGATCAACGAAGCACACTGCTGAGGGGAGCAGCGGACGGGTCACGAGAGGTCTGCCACGCCATGTGGTCACCTCCGGGGCAGGCGGGGATCGAACTCATGCGGAAGTGGCTTTAGATTCTCAGTGCTGTGCTTTAACCCGCTGCGCCACTAGGGAGGGCCCCAGGATATTTAAAATTTTAAGCTCTGCAACTTGTCTTCAGATATGATGGTATTATTTAAATATTTTAGAAAATTTTGCTAATCTTTGATTTATGGGTGTAATCCCTGGCATATTTTCTGTTCTCACACCCCACTCCTTTCTCAACAGAATGGGAGCTGACTGATATGGTGGTATGGGTGACGGGAGCTTCAAGTGGCATTGGTGAGGAGCTGGCTTACCAGCTGTCTAAACTAGGTGTTTCTCTTGTGCTATCTGCCAGAAGAGAACCTGAACTGGAGAGGGTGAAAAGAAAATGCCTTGGTAAGTAAATCTGTTGTGCCAGCAGTGCTTCCTAGAAATAAACTAGAATCCAAAGTCAAATTTTATTTTGGGAATTTTAGGGGTAAGGGTTGGGCTTTCTTGGGCAATATTCTCTGGTTCCAAGTATGTTTACTCCAAATCTGCTCCCTTTTTTCTTCTCTAAATTAACTGCCCTTGCCTTTTTCTACTTTTTTTTTTTTTTTGCATTGACTCTTGGCATTAGGAAGTGACCGCCACTTCTCAAATACTAATGGACTTTTAATGACCAAATTTCTTATATTTTTGTCTTAGAAAATAAAGAGTTTGGTTCTTATGTAGGACATACATATATGTAACTTTAGAAACTTAATTAGGAAGGATCCTTACTCATTTTCTTAAAATGTCAGATGTCAGAGTCACATGGGAAGGTATTATCTTTCATATTCATATAATAGGGCACCAACATAATTTTTTATAATTATAATTTTTAAAATTTTGTTGTCATTATGTTTATAATGAATGCCGCTTCAAGAATAAAATTATTTGTCAGGGAACATTTAGTACCTAAATGAAGAGTATTTTGAGTTTTTCAGCACATCATCTTGGTAATCTCTCTACCTGTCCTCTTATAATTATTCATTCTACTGATGAAGCAAACCACCCTGAAATGAATTAGCTGCCAAACCTGCAAGGCTTCTTTTGTGATAGTCCTTTTAAAGGCCTCTTGGTTTTTTGCACTGGGCCACTTCTTTTGGTGAAAAATTTTTAATGACCTTTAGAGGTCGTTTTCAGTAGCAAGTTTCACTCCTGGAATAATGAGACGCTGTAATTGGACGGCTACCACACAGTTTCTTGAATATATGAAACTCTGCTTCTTTGGGACATCATCTTTCTGCTCTCAAGAGCAGACAGTTGCAGGAACGTGGTTACTCCTCCATTGTTGAGTTTGTAAACCCTGTTCTTGCAGGGATGCACCCCATCAGCATTTCCTCACTTGAGTGAGGCTTATTGCTCGATGATGTTGTTTTAGTGATCAGCTCATTGGTACACACTGTTTCTTTAAAAACAGTTAATGTTTCACAATTTACTTCTTGACCCACAAACTCTTCATATTTTAAAGGTTTTTATATTTTCTGCATTTTTTTTTGTTTTTCTTATTGGTGCTACTAGTTTTAGTTTTTTTAACATTAAAGTCCAAGAAAATTAGTTTCAGTAGTTCTTTTGATGAAAAGATCTAAAAAAGTCTTATTAACGGCCCCGCATGTTTCTTTGTTGGGAACTTCAGGATTGCATCCTTTTCCTAGTTTGCTTTCTGGGATACTTAGCCTTTGGAAGGAAGCTTTTCTGTGTGTCATGTGACTGAATGATGGAGATTCTTACTGATTTTAAAAACAAATTGCTTTTGTTTTTTAATGTGTGTATATAGCAACTTTGCAAACTTCTTGTGAAACAAATGTGCCCATGTACTTCTAAAGATACTGCTCTACAATGTTTGCTTTTAACAACTTACAATTCTGAATATTTTTTCTAGAGTCTGTTCCAATGTGAGACTGTTATATATTCAAACTGAAGGGAGTCATTCTATTTCATTACCCAGTCAGCCTTTTTGTCCTTATCACTGAGAGAAACCCTTCCACAGGGCCACCCAAAAATGAGTTTGCTAGCAAGAAATTTGACTAAACTATTGCATGACTTCTATGCTAATTTTAAGTGTCTTTATTTAGAGAATGGAAATTTAAAAGAAAAAGATGTACTTGTTTTGCCCCTTGACTTGACTGACACAAGTTCCCATGAAGAAGCTACTAAAACTGTTCTTCAGAAGTTTGGTAAAGTAAGTAGCATTTTGAATTGGTTAAGTCTTGCTTTGAAGTAGCAACAAAAGTGATTCCTCTTTGTTGTGTTATCATTAAAAGCAACTGGATCTATGTAGTGAACATATAGCCCATGAGATGGACCGCATAATCTCTGAGTTTTTACCTTTATGTAATTACTACTTTTCAGTGCCTTCACATACCTTTTTATGACACTTGGTACTTACCATCAAAAGTCACTTAAAATAAGAATTTAATTACATACGTGAATTCTAGTTTTATTTAACCTTCTCATTACTAACTTCTGAAAGTACACCCTTTCATTCCTTTGATTCTTCAAGTTAATAAGATAGCCAACTATCCTAGCAAATTAGTCATTCATAGATCATCCCTAAAATGCCCCTTTTCTGATTTTTTTCTTTAAACTAGATCGACATTTTGGTCAACAATGGGGGAAGATCTCAGCGTTCCTTGTGTGCAGACACCAGCCTGGATGTCTTCAAAGAGCTAATAGGGATTAATTACTTAGGAACAGTGTCCTTGACTAAGTGTGTTCTGCCTCACATGATTGAGAGGAAGCAAGGAAAGATCATTACTGTGAATAGCCTTATGGGTATCATATCTGCACCCCTTTCCAGTGGATATTGTGGTAGCAAACATGCTCTCCGGGTAAGGCTGCTCGAACCCAACTCTGTTATTACTGCTCCAAGTGTGTATATGACCATTGCTGCAAGAGGTCACTGAAACTGGGGGGTTGATGTAGGAAAACAGAGAGATCCAAGAACTTTTGGTAGCCAAAGAGGCTAAAAAAGACTTGAACTTCACATACTTCTTCCTATTTCAGTAAACATGGTTTGAATGACTATGCAATGCAACAGATTGTGGATACATAAAGATGATATAATCCTTGCCCCTCAAGAAATCTAGTCAACATGTCACCTTTCACTTTAATCAGGTCTACATGGAATATTTGGGTCCTATTTCTAGTTTCTTCTACAAACACTTCAGAATATACTTTTTCCATTTCTGTGACTTCACTCTCAATACCTCACTGTTGCTGGTGCTTATTTTACCTCGCGGAATATAAACATTCAGGAATTAGGGGTCTTCCTAGTGGCACAGGGTTAAAGTTTCAGCTATCAAGCTGTCCCATTCACTGAAGCGAGTTCAATATCCGGCCAGGAGGCTAATCCATATGGCACTGCAGACCTCTCCTGTCCTGCCCACTGCCCCCCTCAGCAGTGTATTTCAGTAGATCTGCCTGTTCTCTTTGCCATTTGGCTCCCTACTCTGTCTCTGGTGAATTTTCTCACATCCCACACCTCTGGTCTACACCCTTGTTCTTGTATGCAAAAATAAATAAAAATAAATATTTAAAAAACAACAAACAAAAGTAAACATTCAGTAATTACCTACTGAATTATTAGTCCTGGGCTTCATATCCTGATTATGAATAATTTTTACTCTGGTTTCACTGGAAGAATAGCTAGAAAGGCAGAGACTAGGAGCAAAGCTTGACTTGAGCTGCTAACTTTGAGTTATGAATATTAGAAACAAATTTTAACAAATATTAGAAACTGGCTAAAGAGTGGATATAAAATATATTACTAAACTATAATATGCAATTACAAGGCCAATATGAGAAGAATGATTAAGAGATACATATAATTTATAATCAATGCTTTTGAAGTTAGCGTAAGTAGAATGTTTCACTGTTGGAATGATACAGTAGTTGAAAGGTCATCATAGTTTCTTAAACATCCGACATCAAGTTTTGCTCTTTAGGATATCACCTTTCTTCTCTTAAGGGCAGACAGTTGCAAGGAGTGATAAACCAGAGTGCTACAGTGATGATTTCTTAATTTTTGGTAATGTGCTATCAGTCACTTCCTGTTGAACAGTTGGGCAAGTCGTAGGTTGGCAGATGAGGAAAGATAAACTATTCCATCTGTTTGGCACTGAGTATCATAAAACATGTGGAATGTTTTCAGTAAACAAGTGAGTTATCTGGCTTGCCCTCCAAGTCTCACTTTCATTACTAGATTTGATCTTCTGATACGTTGAGATTCTATAGTTATACTGATAGCTGAAAACTGAGACCAGAAAGAACTTTCTGAAGAATGCATTTCCTTCCCCAGTTCCCAGTGAGTTATAGAATGAACCTGCCTATCGTTGAAAAGCTCACTACTGTACTAGATGCAGTTTCGAACAAGGAGGGTTTTAGTATCTGATGTATTGACTTTTATGGTGTTTTCTCTCTTTTGCTCTAGAAGGGCAGAGGGTTCAGGATAAATGAGTTCATTCATTTAAAAAGCCCCTTTTCCAGTTTATCTGAGAGAAACACTGCATTAGTCTCTGTTAGCAGGAACCCTCATAGGTCCTATGTTTGTTAGGGTTCGACTTAATGGCCAGTACCTGTTTAATACTGGATCAAAAATGAAAAGCTGCCCCTGGGTTAGATGTTTAGGGTTTCCAATAGTTATAACAATGTAGTCTGGGAGATTTCCTAATTTAGGGAAAGAGGTGGGGGATGTGGATATTTACTCCCTGTTGGTTTTGAAATGGCCACAAATGTCTTGCTTCGTGTTATAAGCCTCATTGAATAAGTGATAACATTACATTTTTAACTAGTCATATACTTTGTTCCTACCAAAAAAGATGTTTGCTGAATAGTAATCTAAATTGAAAAAGTTGATTCTTCCTTTAAGATAGTTTCCATTAATACTACTGCCTCTTGCTCAACATTGGCACTTTAAACAACTTTAAAGAATTAAGAGGGCCCTCCCTGGTGGTGCAGTGGGTTGGAGCATGCACTGCAAAGCTGTCTTTGGCCACTTTAGTGCAAGTTCAATCACTAGCCAGGGAGGCGATCCACATGGCGTGGCAGACCTCTCCTGACTCGCCCACTGCTCCCCTCAGCAGTGTACCTATTAGTCTGCCTGTTCTGCTTCCTGCTTTGTCTCTGGTGAATCCTCTCACCACCCCTGCACCTCTAGCTTGTACTCCAGTTCTGTATGCATAAATAAATCTTTTTAAAAAAAAAGAATTAAAAGAAACCTCTGATTCTCAGTGAGATAGGGAGTGGTGTGAGGAGGGTATATCAGAATTTCCAGAGATAGTTTTTCACCTATCTAGTATTTATCTATGAAAAAAATCTGTGATAGCATGAGCCACCACTACCAAAGAGTGGGGATCCATCCATACTTAGAAAGATCTGAGTGTGCCTATTTTAGATTGCCTCCAGTTGAAATTGCCAAACAAGCTTGCACAATTTGCCAGGCCTTTCAGAAACAATACATTTCTGTTCTTTATTCAGCCATTTCAGAACATATTTTGCTAATGTACTATTGTTCATAAAAAAGTGGAAGAAATTTCATGCTTAGTGAATGTACAATGTATGTCTGTATTTAATATTTTTTATTTCCCTGTTAGGGTTTTTTTAATGCCCTCCGAGCTGAGCTAGCCTCATACCCAGGTATAGTAATTTCTAACATCTGCCCAGGACCTGTGCAATCAAACATTGTGAAGAATTCTTTCACTGAAGAAGTCACAAAGGTAAACATTTCTAGTTGGAGAATAATTTGCATGCATTAATAGTTATATATTGGTGTTACCTCACTATGCTTCAACATTTTCATGTTAAACTGTTTATGAATTATTTATAAAACTTCACTCATGGCATTAGAAAAATAGTTAAGATTGTTAAGATTAGCTGATAGTACTTTGGTATCCAGTTTTAATAAAGCTAAAGAAATCATTAATTACTGCTTTTAAGTAGTTCATTACTATGTAGGCTATCAATATTTTAAAAACCCAGTTTCTGTCAATCCAAAAATCATTACAACATTGAAAGACTGTGTGGCTGGGCACTTGGACAATGCATCTTACTTGAATTTTAAAGAGGGTTGTGTTGAAGGAGCCAAAAAAGGCCTACTTGTATTGTGGTATTTTATACTGGACTTATACAGGGCTGTACTTCCCTTAGCAATATTATTCATAGAAAATGAGAACTTTTCTTCTCTCCCTCCATCTTATTCCCATGAACTCTGTGTTTGATAGAATTTCATTTGCCAAATATATGTATTAATAATTTGTTTAAAAATTTTTATTAAAGTGACAATTTTCATTAAGTACATTAAGTTGATATGATTCTAATGAAAAGCAGAGGCTCTATACCCTTAAGTTAACCTGCACAGTCTTACTTGAAAGTGTATGTTTGTTTTTTTGAAATATGTGTAACTTATAGACACCCACTAGTACCTAAGGGAACTTCTGTAGGACAGGAGGTCCTGCTAAAGAGACATTCAATTACATGACTTCTGGGACTGTGGCCTAAAAGCTCTGTGAAATATTTTGGATAAATACCCAGTATTTACTCAGATTTTTAAAATTTCTTAGATAGTGCACAATGATGGAGACCAGACCTACAAGATGGCAACCAGTCGTTGTGTGAGACTGATGTTAATCAGCATGGCCAATGATTTGAAAGAAGTTTGGATCTCAGATCATCCTTATTTGTTTTTTGTGTATCTGTGGCAATATGCACCAACCTGGGCCTGGTGGATAACTGGGAAAGTAGGGAAGAAAAGGATTGAGAACTTTAAAAGTGGTGTGGTAAGACCAGTTTACACTTTAAATACACATAAATTTTGCATTTAAGTATGAAATTTTCCAGTGCTTAAAAAACTTTTCATAGTGACCCCAAATTAACTTCATCATATAAACACCAAAAAATATAGAAAAAATATTCTGTTTACCATGCAGATCTGTTGGCTTACTAGTCTTGGAGAAAGAAGTTGCCTACAAATTAAAAATGAAATCAGATTCAGTTTTTTTCTCTTATACTCACTGTTTGTTCATTTGTCAAAATGCTTTCTTCACTGTTTCTCCCCACTAGCTCCCACCCATCCTTCAGATATTACCTTCTTGTGTTGACACCTGTCTTCTCCCTTTTCTTTCTGGGACTAGCTACATCTTAGCCTGATACTTATCTCTGACAGAAGGTTTGTTTCTGCTATGGCTGAAATAGACACATGCTCACTGTGTAGTACTGGTTCCTTTGCGCCCATTGGAAGCACCACACCTGAGGTGCACCTATACTCTCAGAGTATTTAGGCTGGTTACTCACTCTTTAAGCACCTATTCATTTGGAAAATAATGAAGAATATAATGAACTTTTTGGAGAAAATTGTAACCATTGAAAGAGTTTAATATGTAATAGTACAGGAAATGCAACAAGCAAAAAGTCATAGATAGGATTTTGCAAAAAAAGATTGTTTCAGTGGATAGTTTTTATTGTTAAAGTATTTCAATGATGATGGCTTCCTTTTGGAAGTGTTAGGTATTGATATGTAAAGAGAATTATAAAATGGAATCATACTATATATATCACTATATAACCCCTCACTAAACAATCCATGAAATGTTAAGTGTTTAATTTGTCCTAACTTGTAGTAGGAAGGTGAAAATGCATTAGTGAAAAAAAGCAACAAAAACCCAAAATGCATAAAGAAACTTAAAGGATATATTATTTCAATGTGCACTAATATGTCCAGAGCTTGAAAAATTGTGAAGAGACTCTTCATTTTCTACCAAGTTATAATATAGATGAATGTGATTTTGGGTCAAATCATTTATAACTGTTTTGGTAATATTGGGACTTGTTAGTATGGAGGGTTCTCAAGATAGACTTACTTCAGAGATTACAATAGAGCATTAAATTTGGAGAATAGTTGCTGCAGTGGTATCGTACACAGTGATGGGTAAGAATTGGGAGGGTAAAACTCCAGCACTAGAGAGGTGACCCAGCATTAAGAGCATGGAGTTGGAGATATAAAACCATATATATGGTCACCTAATCTAAGACAAAGGAGCAAAGAATGTACACTGGTAGGGGCAGGAAGAGGAGTCAAAACAGGGGATGGAAGAGCATAAGGGACCATGGAGATAGATCAGAGGTGCTGTGGGAGAACTACAGGCACTACACCTGAGGGGAGAAATCAAATACTCTGTCCAAAAATTAACCATTATGTAAGAAAATAAATAATTTTATTAAATTTTTAAAAATAAAAAGGAAGTGACAGAGGGAAAATTGAGTGTTTTGTTAAATTTAAAAAAATAAAAAGGAAGTGACAGAGGGAAAATTGAGTATCATGAAAGTTATGGGGGAAAAAATGAACCTGGCATATGGTGCCAGGTTACCTGGTTAAAATCCCAGCTCTGTCCTACCTCCACTTGTCCAATGACCTCTGGATAGTTACTTCTTTATAAATCAATCTCCCTATCTACAGAAGGAGATTATAAACCAGTTTACAATTAATTGTCAAGTATTTCAGTTCTAAATGTCCTATTCTTTTTTTTATTAAGGTAAGTCAATGTAGGTATGATATGCAGATCCAGAAGAGTAGTAACAAAGTTTTCAGCAGTTAGAAAATGGCATAAGCAGATGCTAACAGGTGATATATCAGGTAAGAGGAGATAATGATACTATCTATAGACCTAGATTTTGGCTATATATATTTTTCTAATTTAAGCATTTTCTCAGGTTTTACAAGGACTCTTAATAGTCATAATGACATAGCTCCTCAGAATAGAAGGGATTAATTTTAAAAAACTGGGGTAAATACAAGAGGAGTGACTAACTCACTTTACTGTTGTTCTTTTATAGGATGCTGATTCCTCTTTTCTTAAAGGCTGGAAGACAAAACATGAATGAAGGAATACTTGCATCTTTCAAGCCACTGGAGGGAGAAGTGGAAAATATGAGCAATCCTCTTATACGTAGAAAACTAGTAATAGATAAAACTTTCACTATATAATAAATGATAAATAAAAGAATGGTGTGAATCTTGTAATAAAGATATTAACACATGTCACATTTGGGTAAACTAATATTTTAAAATACTCTTAGCATATATGCTTGAAGTCTGGGTTAACAGAATACAAAACAAAAATTAGAGTAATTGATTTCATATAAATTTATGGAAAATTACATGGAGTCCAGTGCCAGGTAATGAGCAGATAATAAAGAAGTATCTGAAATGGTCCTGCTTCCAAGGTGCTTACACTCTTGAACAGTTGACAAGTACAAAATGACTGTCATTTGAAGCAGTAGGGGTCATAGCCACCACAATTTATTTAACAACTGTTATTGTGATTTTCTTGGATCTTGGTATGATAGATGGTTTTTGAATCCTAGACAATTTATCTATTATGTTAAGAAATCGCAGGTCCCTATTTAAGTCTTATTTTTGTAGGCATTTACCCTAAATTTAGCATATGAGTCACTTTTGTGGGCTATATTTCAGTACAGTGTTATTTTGGTATACTTGGTTAACCCCTTCCCAGTCAGGGCTCCTAGTTCTGCCTGTGGAGAAGAAAGTGATATCCTCTTTCCCGTGCCCCCTGGCTTCCCAGTATCTCTGCAGAGAGGAGAGTCTTCGTTCTGCAGGAACAGAAACGTCTTAGAGAGGCCAGATGCTCTAACAGTGTGTTTTGCCAGTTTCACCTGCCCATCTTGCTATCTTCTGTGGAAAGGAAATTCTTCAAACCAGTAGGAAAGGAGAATGCCTGTTCTGGTCACTTGTTTTTGCCAGGACCACCAATTGATGTCCCTTTGCTTATTGTTGCCAGAGGAGTTCTTACTCAGCTATTCAACTTGCCTTAAGTTGTTAGGTTAGAGGTCAGGACCTGTCGATCCTTGGTGGCCTTCAATGTGTCTGAGAGGATGCAAAACACCATGCCACCCTGCTCCTCCTCCAGTCCTGGGATCCCAAAGCTGCTTGCCTTCATCTTAACACTTTTTTATGTTCTCCCTTGCTTACCTGATGTCTCACAGTATCCATGTTTTGAGTTTAGCAAAGAGGAGCAGGATAAAATGGGTTTACACCATTCTATCCAGAGTGGATGTCAAATAGTATCTTTTTAAATTTTGAATTTGTGTATTGTTTGTATATAGAAGTACTGATTTTTAACTTAGTATTATATCTACCAGTCTTGATGTTATTTTTGTATTTTCTAAAATTTTATTGTAGATTATTTTGTATCTTCTAAACACACATCATGCTTTCTGAATAATAAGTTTTAATCCTTCATTTTCAGTCTTATTTTTATGTCTTATTTTTACTGGCCCAGACTCTAGGACAAAGTTGAATAGACATGGTGAAAATGCTTCCTGTATTTCATTTTCTGTCTCAGAAGGAGAATCTTCAACAGTGTACTTCATCAGTCATGAAGTACACTGTTACAGGTTTCTGAAAATACCCTTTATCAGATTGAGGAAGTTCTCGTTCCCTTCTTGTTTGCTGAATATTGTCATAGTGGTTTTCTTCATTTCTGTGGGTAAATAATACTTCTGTGGGTTTCTCATTCCTCCTGTTTGAAGCCACAGCTTTCTGAGATTCTTCACCCACAAGGAAAACTAAATCTGCAGCATTTGTCTAATTACTCTGCACTTAAGGTATAATAAGATACCTCATTTCCGTAGGAAGCCCATATAATTAGAGTCTGGTTTGATCCTTACATGAAGCCCCAAAGTAACAGAAACACTGACGTAACTATCTTCTTAGCTATTACCTAGGACGTAGGTAATACAGCTAGGAGACACATGGGGGCCATCAGACTCCTGGAGAGATTTTTTTTTTGAAAGATTATTTATGCATACAGAACTGGGGTACAGGCCAGAGGTGCAGGGGCATGAGAGGATTCACTAGAGACAGAGTGGGGAGCAGAACAGGCTGACTGAGATTTTTTTGACAGGAGAGTAAAGGGGAGAAACTTCCAGGAGGGGAAGAGAACAGTTGTAAAATAATCAATGTAAAATCAATGTAAAATAATTTTTCCTACTCCATTACTTATGGAGTATTTGGCTACTGACATAGGAAAAATTTCCATCAGTTGTCATAGTGTTGTCCTGGACATGGACTAGTGCAAAGGCAGGTAGGTACACTTACTACTTACTTTAAGAGAATAAAACACCTATCTGTGATACAGAAGATCCCATGTGTACCTTTAGGATAAAATTAATAAATGAATATTTAAACGCGACTTTCTCTTTTTATGAATGGGTGTTGACTTTATCAAACACATTTTCTGGACCTACTAAAATGATAGAAATTGATAGAAATTGTCTTCTTAAATTGTGCTAATGTAGTAAATTACTTCAGTTGACTTTCAACTATTATATCAACCTCTTTTTTTTTTTTTATTAGCTGTTTATAGCAGCTTTATGCACAATAACCCCAACTGGAAATAATCCCGATGTCTAACACCTGATGTACAAAATACAATATTTTTGTTTGTTTTTTTATTTATATTTTCCACACCATTGTGTACTCCTTATAAAATTTCTACCACCAGTTCATCCATGAGTCATATCTACAGTCCCTTGTGTTCTTCTCTCCCATGTTTTGATCCCTTTTCCTCTCCCTCACAGAATGTCTCTTATTTATGTTTGTCTGCTAGTTTTGTTGTTTTTTCATTATTATTTTTCCTTATCTCCCTTAACTGGTTCTCTTATATCCCTCTATAAGTGAAACCATTCAGTATTTTTCTTTTTCCTTTTGACTTATTTCACTGAACATGATCCTTTCTATCTTTATCCATATTGCTGCAAATGGAATGAGTTTATCTTTTTTGATTGTTGAATAGTATTTTGTTTATATATATATATATATATATATATATGTATATACAGACGGCATACGAGATGTCGAGCAGTGACTGGAGTTCAGACGTGTGCTCTTCCGATCCTTTTGACTTATTTCACTGAACATGATCCTTTCTATCTTTATCCATATTGCTGCAAATGGAATGAGTTTATCTTTTTTGATTGTTGAATAGTATTTTGTTTATATATATATATATATATATATATATATATATGTATGTATATACATACACCACATCATCTTGATCCAGTCATCTATTTTGGGGCATTTGGGTTGTTCCCATATCTAACTTACTGTACATAATTCTGCAATAAACATAGGGGTGCAGGTATCTTTTTGGGTGTATGTTGTGACCTTCAGGTATATTTGTAGGAGTAGAATTGCTGAGTCATATGGTAGATCCATTTTAAGTAGTTTGAGGAACGTCCACATAACTTTCCATAGTGTTGATCTCACTTTTTAAGAAGAAACCTTTTAGGTACAGATTCATTATAAGGCAATTCTTCCAATATATGTGTGCTGTGGACCAGCCATGGCCATCAGTTTTGTTAGGGTCTCTGAAGGTGGAAAACGGCTTTGGCATGTGGAGATTTTCAGGGAGAATGAAGAAGACATAGAGTCTGTCTCGGATGCAAGTGTCTCCTGCTGGGTTCTTGGCAGGTCTTTATACTGTGCAGCAAGAGTCAATCACAATGCATAAGGTGAGGTATAGAGATAAGAATTCACCATTAAATTTATCAAGAAAAAGACACATTTGATGAGAACATAAAAGTGACCAATTGGTTTGACAATATGAAGGTAAATAAAAACTTTTTGAGAGGTAATGTTAAATATAAATACAAACTGTTAAATTAATATTAGATATTAATAAAAACTTTTTTTTTGGTTAAATTAGAAATGAACTCCCATCTCTGGATTGGTCTGACAGGTGAATGAAAAATAAGGAAACCTAGCCATGTTTGAGGATTGCTTGATTGAACCATTCCACATACATGTGTAGGTGGAAATAAGACAAAGGGTAGAGGAAATTCAAGTCTCAACTTAGGCAGAGTAATTGTTTTATTCTGAGATTCAAGTTCCAAAGCAGCAAAAGAATAAAAATAAAATTCTGATTATGTCATGAATATCTTTCTTCCATATTTTCCTGCCATTTAGTTCAGGTACCTTAACTGGCAGTCCTAGTGTATAAGTCATTTTTCAGATGTAGTATATTCAGTGGAAAAGAAATGCATAGGAACCAATCTTGGTATGGTCTCAAATTACCTTAACACTGCTAAGCCCTGTGACTGTGTACATGATGAATGGGATGAGTCCTTTCTCTTTCACATATATTAAAAGAATAATTGGAAAGAAAGGAAAGGATTTTAATTGGAAGAGATTTTAGTAAATTTTTTTATTTTTATGAATTGAAGTGTATGAAAAAATGAATAGTTTGTGGGTATTCAGACTGTTAAATCACACAAAGTTTGAAAATACTACAAAATTTAATATTGCAAATAAATATATATACACATTATATAACCTTCAATTTAGAAACACTGATATGTATATAAAACACGTAAAAATTATACAGTTGGTTTCTATAAAGCAAGTCACCTATCACACATAAGACAGCATTAACAAATTATCTAATCTACAAATGTTTTATATATATCAATGCCTATCCCATTCTATACGGCACAAATATTGGCCAACTAGTTCTAACTTTTTTATTTTGAACCATTAAGAGCTTTTTTCAGTTATCTGATTTGGAGTAGAGAGGGAAGTCCAGTGAATCACAATGATATTTTTCTAGAATGAAAAAAATAACATCTCATTTGATAACACATTTACAAGTCAAAATGGGCTCTAATACAAATGTATATGGAGAGGTTTTGAAGAATAAATTGGATATCCCAGCGGAGGATCAGCTGCTTGTACTGTAAGGTTTCTTAAAAGTAGTGGGTGAGCCTGTATACTATAACGTTCCTCATCATCGTTTGTGGCATAAAGCAATTCCCACGAAAGATTGGCCCACTGACCTCTGACAGCTTCAGCATTTAACTTCCCAACTTGGATCAGTAATTCTTGAAGGGTAAGTACTCTCCCAGTGTAAACTCCCTTTAAAGTATAAAAAGAGGGGTGGGGAAGGGGGAAAAGATTACATTAAAACTTCTATATTTTATTTATAACTTAGAGAAAAACTCCATTGTAGTTGGCAATATAAG